GGTGTAGCTGTTAATTCTGACTTTTCTTCCTCCATGCTGATGTGAGCGACTGCCAGGCGTTGATTTTTACCTTCTTCTTTGGGGGCTCTGGCTCGGTACAGGACACAGTGGCATAAACTTTCTCCTCCGGCACCACTTTAATTGTTGCTCCCACCGAGTAGACTCCTTTAAAGAGGATGGTGAGCATTTGCACTGTTAGTTGAACCTTACGGATGGTGCTAGGGTCGGAGGGCGTTCTTACTCTGGGACCTGCAGTACCCCATCACGGAAGTGGTGTTCTGCTGTCACTCTGTACAGATATGACTTCTCTTTGGGTCTTGCTGCGTTGCTGCCCCACCAGTCTATTTCGGTGGTGTAATAGTACAGGTCTGAGGTGCGTACCCCACTTTCCCTTGGCACGTCCGGCAAATCCACCATTGGGATGGTGCAATCATTGATAACCTCCAAAATCAAATGTGCCCAGGTGGTCAGCTCCCAGGGACCCGTCCAACCCCCATTAACAGCCTGCACCATTGCGTCGTCTGGGAGTACACTTAATTCTTCGGCCAGCGGGCGATCTGTCTGGGGCCGAAGCACCCGGAAGATCACTGGGGAGTGCGTGGTACTCACTGAGGGGTATGGTAGTTGTGCTCGCGTGGGATCATAAGGCTAGGCAGTATGGACAGCGTCCCACAGGGAGTCGTGTGGTCCTTCTTCTTTCCGCCAAATCCACTGTTCTCTCCCTGAGGGGTCCTCTGGAGTGTTGGGGGGCGCCGAAGGCCCTGCGAACCAGTGAACCGATGGTATGGAACTCCCGTAAGTACACTGGGGTCCTCCGTATGTTTGAAAAAACTGCAGAGCGCTGTAGAATCTTTTTAGCTGCCAGCCTTCAGCCTCTCCCGCCGGAGTCACCTCTCCTCCCCGGATCTGCTCAGTGCAGACCGAACAGACGCTTAATTCTTCCCCATCCCACAGGCAATGACATCGTTTTGGTTCTTCCTCCTGCCATCCCCATTGGGTCACCATTACTAGCCGGGGTAGGGAACACAGTCTGCAGTTCCCGCAGAACTGGGGAGACTGGGAGGTACTGCAGCTTCTCTGCTGTTGACTCCTGTTTCCTGGGCTTTTCGCGGCCTGTTTCTTTCCAGGTGAGAGGGAGTTGAGTATTTGTTAAACACCCTGGGCAGCACTTTTTAGCTTTATTCCCCATCAGCATTTCGGGTTCCTCTGACAGGATTCCATTTTTGGCCCAATCCAATTTCTTCAGGGCTCGTCCTGCCCAGATCCCTCCTGTTGTAGGGTTAGGGTACAACAACAATCCCTCCTGATTACAACCACCCCTTTCACGGTGGCCAGTCTGAGATAGGGTGGAACAATACATGATTCACTGGCCATTTCACCGGCTTCTGTTTCTCTTTAGTCAGGAACTGGCTTGAGTTGCTCGACTCCTTGGATCCCCTTCTTTTCCAGCAATACTGTGTTCCTGTCCAGTACTTGCTTGACGATGTCTGTCGTTTCAAACTTGGGTTTCACAGCTGCGCTCACAGGTTGCTCTCTTGGTCTGACCCACACTCGTTGTCCCACTTTGAATGGCACTTTGGGCGTCAGCTTCTCCTTTTTATCGCTGGAGCCCCGCCCCGTTTCCTTCGTGGTAAATGGCCGTTGGTTGAGCTCCATCGAGGGGGCGGGCCTCTCAGCTCTATTCCTGTCGTTTACTAATCCAATGGTGTGCTCCACCACTCCGTTGGCTTGTGGTGTGTAGGGTGGCGAGTAAACTCTCATTACTCCGTACTTCTGGCACCACTGGTCAACCTGTGCATTACGGAAATGAGTTCCATTGTCCGTCCGCAGCTCTTTCGTGATTCCCAGGGCACTGCACACTTGCTCCAGCATGCCGACAACACTGCTGCCGTTTGCCTTCCTGACTGCCTTCACAGTTACAAATCCCGACATTGAATCCACCAGCACTAAAAGGTACTTCTCACCTTTTCTTCCTGTCATTCCCATGGGGCCTGCCACGTCTATACAGACTGAGCCCCAGGGAATCGTGCTTTTGATGGTCAACCCTTCCAACCACTGCCCTCGGCGACCTGCGTTGTATCTCCCACACACTTCGCAGTCCCTCAGCACGCGTTGGACTTGTTTCACTGGGATCCAAAGCTCTTGCTCCTCCAGCTCCTTACGGGTAGGTCGCATGCCTGCATGTTCTAGGGCCCCATGCACGCTCCGCACGACCTCATCCACGCACTCTTCTGGGACCTCCCGTCCTCTGGGAGTCTTGTCCCACTTCTTGATACCGACAAAGACAATCTTCCTCTGTTGGACATAGCAGTCCACTTCGTCATTTCCACGCCAATGACCTCCCTCATGCGTGTGCGCTTGCTGATGCTCAACTTCGAGCTCCAGCTGCATCTTTAACTCAGCAATCTTTTCCCACAAGTCTCTGTGTGCCACCGGCTTGCCCTTAGCTGTCTCAAAACCATTTTCCTCCCAAATGGCTAAGTCTTCTTTAAGGGCTTGTGCACAGTAATAACTGTCCGTCACCAACCTTGCACTCTTGATCTTTCTTTTCACCAGCTCTAGTAGTCCTTCCAGTACCGCAGTCACTTCTCCGGCTTGGGCACTGACGGGGGCTTTTCCCTTCTGTCGACACCTCTCCTTGCCATCCTCTCCTTGCCATCAGAACCAGAACAACCACTCTGGTTGTTCTGGTTTTTCAGGTGTTTCTTGCTGTCGTTTCTTGTTGGTGGGTTGTGCTGGGCCAATTTCAAGCTCTGGGTCCAGCAAGATGTCTTCCCATCTTCCCCACCGTGCATCCCGGGTTTCGGCACCATCCCCTCCTTGAGATCGGACGGTATTTCGCGGAAAACACAAAGTCCATATAGAACAATCCTAACACATCATCACAATGGATAGTTAAGATGTCCCTCTCGTAGCAAGTCACAGGAGAAGATGACGGCGTCCACGTGTCCACAACCTCGTACTCCGTTAGATGTGAAGGTGGGGAAATCCAGGTGTCTGCGTTCAGCTCGTCATCAATTGTGGAGCTGCACGGCTCAAAAAGATCTTGGCGTTCCAACTGAGGAGTCGGAGTGGTGCCATCCACCTCCAAATCCTGTTGTGGGGCGGCTGGAAAGTCGCAGCACGCTTCTAGTTCTTCGAGCAGGTCCTGGAAATCCTTATTGAACGAAGGAGACTGCATCTGGCAAATGCAGGTTACGATGGAGCTCGTTTGGCTACTCTGATCCTTGTGTGATAGGATAGGTGCATCATTAGTTTGGCATGCTTGGTGGGATGAACTGAGAAACTCAGCCTGGGTACCCTGGTCGTGAGTTGCAATGCTGGTCTGGCACCCGACGTTGACGAACAGGTCTGGAGATGCCGGGAAAACTGGTGGAATGGGGTCACCAACTGCTACTACTCTGCCATCCAAGAGATGCAGAGTAGGAAGGCACTGGCGGGTGGTCTGGTTTTCCCATAGCTTCTGGACTACGGGCATCATCCGGCTATCCCCCAACGGCGACATTTGAAGCGCGTCGTCATCCACACGACTTTGTGGTCCCGTTCCAGGGATCTAGTTGTGGAAGCCGCAATGTAAGGCAGGTCCTCACGCCCCTGGAGGCAGAGGATTGCCGTTACATTATCCAGGTGTACGCAATCGTGACTCCAGCGGGTAGACGATGCAACCCATATGAACCCAGCGGATTCTGTGGTTGTTCCACATCCCACGCAGCAGATTGGTGCCTGAAGAGAAACAGCAACCTAGGTAACTTCATGATTAATGGTTATCGATTAATAATACTCATATAAATAAAATGGCTTAAAAGCGAAAGCAAAAGCATAGAAAGTGAGCTGGTTTAAACTCGTGTGCCTCTGTGAGCTGCAAGCCATGGGGAACGAATCACAGGGAAACCATTCTCGGATTCTGGTGCTTCCGAACTCTGCATATAATACAAATCGTGAAATATCGCCACGTGGGTCATAAGCCACATGACGATAGGCAGGGTAAACGTCTTCTTCATCCAGTAGAGGGTACAAAAACTCACCAAACGTCTTTCAGTCGGCTGTAATGGAAGTACTGGGAGATGTGGGAGCAACTGTGTACATAGATGATGTTTTTATCGCCGATGACACTGAAGAAGAACACCTAGTGAGACTGCAGACAGTAGTCGAGAACCTCACCAAAGCAGGCCTGAAATTAAACCTCAAGAAGTGCCAATTCGGACAGTTCCAGGTGAATTACCTGGGATTCCAGGTCACGTCAGACTTGGGACTCTCAGATGGATATAGGGAAAAATTGATGAACATTCAACCCCCTCGGTCAGAGAATGAACTGCAGAAAATACTGGGACTGTGTAACTATGTCAGAGACCATGTGCCCAACTACCAAAAGTATGCCAGACCATTGTACAACTGCCTGAAGAAAAATGTGGAGAACGAAGAAGGAGGAAAGAGACCGTGGGTTTGGACAGCAGCCAACCAACAAGATCTGGAAGAATTGAGAAAAGCGATTCAAGCAGCGGTGAGGCTGGAACCAAGAAGCCTGTCAGAAAGACTGGTAGCAGAGATCAGCTGCGAGAATGATGATGCTATGATCAAAGTGAGCAATGAAAACCGAGGCTTAGTTACACTGTGGAGCTACACCCTGACCTCTGTCGAAAAGAAATACCCACAAGAAGAGAAAGAACTAGCGGTGCTAGCTCAATACTGGAGTGTGCTAAAAGATCTAGCACAAGGACAGCCGGTTAAAGTCATCACACAGAGCCAGGTGCACAAGTACCTAAGGAAAGACACCGTTGAAAGTACATGAATTTGAGACAATCATTACTTCAGATTTTTTGAAAGATCTACTTCTATATACATTTTTGTGGATTAACCTGTTGTTCACAGGTTGTCATTCACAATGACAGGGGTGTCAAACTCCAGTCCTCAAGGGCCG